GGCGGCGTCGCGCGGCCGGGGCTCCGCCTGCGTCGCAACGAAATGGGAAAGGTTAATTCCACGGGGCCGGTGCGACTCCGATTACCCCACACGCGGGAAGCGGACGCCGATGGCAGCGAACCCACCCCCACCCCAGAACGAGAATTAAGGGGTATTATGTCGCTTCGTCTTCCTTCTGTCCCATCAATGTCGTTACTTCTAATATCTTCATTTCGAATATCTCGTAGTTGGAATGAAAAATCGGCGAAGGTGGCTCAGAATATCAACTGATATCACTGCAGTTCCTCTGACCAGGATGTCCTCGGTTCGAGCCTTGATAGTGGCAGGATTTTCGACACTACCTAGATCGAGAGATCTAGTTCAGTGGCTGTTTGAAGAAGAGTTCTAGCAGTCGGCGGATCTTATCGGTAGATTTCCGTGGTTTCTCCAATCAATACCAGGCAAATGCCGGAGCAGTACCCTAACCAACAGGCCACGGACCGCGCGCGATCTCTCCTTCCTTTTCCTTGTGTTATCCTCAGTTCACACACTTACACGGAGAAAAATATATGCAGAGAGAAACTAGTCGGGAACATACCGCTTGACCCAGTTGAGACGGTGCCCAGCTGGTGGGAGATACCTGGTTAGGGTAAACCTAGTTGGATGACGGTAGGTCGGCGTCGGATCTCATTTAGTGCGGAAAGATCACCGCCTTCTCCCGGAGAAAACACATGCATTCCACTTACGGAAATAATGACTTAAGCAGTTGACGCGCTCGAAATCACCAATCAATTAATCAAATCAAAGTCTTACGTCTGTGCTCCTACGTAGCTCAAATGAATATATACTATGGCAATCACTTCTTCTGGGTTTTCGTATTCTTTCTGCCCCACCGATATCTTGATTCGTCCGGCCTCCTGATTTAGATTTTCATAGATGAGATGAAAGAAGTACATCTTTCAATTGGGCTTTAATGTAGCTCAAATAAAGCCATGCTATGGCCATTCCTTGCTGCGCGCCTTGCCTCCTGTTTTCGATCTGCTGCCTACAGGTCATAGATGAAAGAACGTAATTTCTCTTTGCTTCTAGGGAACTCAAATTAAACGATTTTACGTTGATTATTCCTCGACTCGTTTCGCCTTCCTTCTGCCCATCAATATGATTCACCGTTTTTCATGTTTATTTGGCAAGGGCTACCATCAAGAAAGTAAGTGATTACCTGGGTGCTCTCTCAAGCCTCAAATGATGTCAAGTTTTGTCAAGCGCGCCTCGGCTCGTTCCTCCTGACTCATTAATATTTTGATTCGTTTAGTCTCCCGTTTTCGGTCTCCTCCAATGAAAGTACATCTTTTCTCTCTGCGACTAAGTTGATCAAATTAAGACATATTTTGACTCGTTTCTTTGTGTTTCTGCGTTATAAATATCCTGATTACTTGCTCTTGTTTTCGCGTTTCTTCTACCTTACTATTTCTAACTTCTGTACTTCCTCGTCACTTGTACTAAGTAATGTTCAGACTATCTTGTCTTATATTGTTTCTCCTTGCTTTTACCTCATGAAAATTTCGACTCTCCTTTTCTCTTGTTTCTTTGTCAAAGAAAAGAGTCGAGACAGAGAAACCTTTGAGGAAACAAGTAGTTCTTTGCTGTGTGCTTCTGCGACATTTCTGCAAGGTCATGCTTTGTCCCGTGTTAAATAATACTTCTTACTTCTGCTCCATCAATATCCTGAATTGTTTTCTCTGTTTTCGAAGTTTTGTATTACACTCTAAATGAAGTCATTTTTACGTCTGTGATCCTACGTCGTTCTAAATAGGCCGTACTTTGTTGATACAACATTGTGTCTTTCCTTCTTGCATCTTTCTTTCAATGTTTTGATCTGTCTTCCCGTTTGTTTTCTTGTGAACTACATAAGGGGAAATAAGTAGATATTGGCTATGACCTCATTTTCCCATATTTCCCGTATTCTCGTGTCGCCTCTTTGT